TTACCCGAAGGCGAAGGTTTCAGACGAGTCTGAATAAACAATTTCCAACAGTTGCTGTTATCCTTGATTTTCTGTCTATCATTGAAAAATGGATATCCGAAACACAGGGCCAACTGAAGGCAATGTTTCGGATAATGGCTTTCTGGGATACAAGGCTCAGTTAAGGCAATATCCCAGAATTGTCCATGGACTCATGTCTTTGGAGAACAAGTCTTACTAAAGTTTGACTTCAGCTGAAAGACCAGTGTTCTTTAAAAAGACGAGTTTTGTCAGCAATCTGAAACCCAGTTACCCGAAGGCGAAGGTTTCAGACGAGGCTGAATAAAAAACCCTTAAAGAGTAGATAGAACCGAGAAAACTTTGAAAGGATAAAAAGTTGCAAACATTTATATAAATGGCGGCTCCAAGGCCTTTCATTAGTTCAAAATGTACTTACAAAGATTGTTCTGCCCCGAAGGGTTTACACATGATATTTTTTCAGTACATCAGCGTTCCAGTGATTTTTCAACTCAGTTCCATCCAACTGCCGAAGTCGGTATGTCCCTGGCTGAAGCTCATCACAGATTTCATAAGGCCCTTCCCATGCAGCTGAGAGTTTCCCATGGATTCGGCCTTTCTGAACTGCAACAGCATTCCGAAGGACAAGGTCTCCAATTTTAAGAGGCCTTGCATGGACCCTTCGGTTATAAAATTTGCTGATGCCGAATATGCCAGTTTGACGCCGAACTGATCTGTATACCGCTTCAATGGTAAGTTATCAAATTGCCTCCCATGATCGAAGACAAATACTCTCAGGATGCCAAAACGAGTGATGATATTCTGCCAGATAAATTTTCTGACAGTTTGCTCTGTAATGTTCGAGGCTGCTTCGGCCTCGATCCATTTACTGAAGTAGTCAACACCAACTATCAGCCATTTTTTCTGGTACACAGCCTCTGGAAATGGGCCTAGTATATCCAGTCCCCATTGGGCAAACGGGAGTGGATTAAGGATCGGCTGAAGATCCCTTGCTGGCTGGTGGATAACTGGAGCGTATTTTTGACATTTTTCGCATTTCCGGACTAGCTCCTTAGCATCTGCGATCATGGTGGGCCAGTAATATCCAGCCCTCAATGCCTTGTGGGCTAAGGTCCTTCCCCCAATGTGGTTCCCACAGATGCCGAGGTGAATCTCCCGTAGGATATAATCTGCATCTGTTGGTCCCACGCATTTCAGCAATGGGGCTGAGAAGGACTTTTTCAGAAGTTCCCCCCTGAAGACAATGAACCTTGAGCTGGTTCTCTTCATCTTGGAGGCCAAAGCTTTATCTTCGGGAGTTTCTCCCCGAAGCTTGAAAGCTAGGATGGGGTCCATCCAACTAGGCTCTAGGTCAGCGCAGCACACTTCAGGTGCTTCGTCGACACTTCTCTCTCGTCGCACTTCTACATATACAGATCTGTTCAGCTCGGTAAGAGTTGAACTGGCAAGTTTGGAGAGTGCATCGGCTTGAGTATTCTGACCCCTTGGGATCAGCTGAACCTCAAAAGTTTTCAGCTCTGCAATGACTGACTTGGTCTTGGCAAGATAAGCTATCATGGAGGGCTCTTTGGCCTCGTAGCTGCCGCTAATCTGATATGCAACTAGCTGAGAGTCTGTTTTCAGGCAGACATGATCGGCTTCCAGGGAGATGCACAATTCTAGGCCGGCGATTGCTGCCTCATATTCGGCTTCGTTGTTCGAGGCCTTAAAAGAAAATTTTAGTGCATACTCAAAGGATTTGTCTTCGGGAGAAGTTATCACTACTCCTGCCCCCGAACCGTTTTCGGTGGAAGATCCATCCGTAAACACGGTCCAGACTTTCTTTTCATTGTCTAGCGCTTCTTGGTATGAGCATTCGGCAAGAAATCCGCTAGATCTTGAGCCTTAATGGCAGCCCTCGGACGGTAGCTGATGCTGAATTCGGTGAGCTCAAAAGCCCACTTGGCTAGCCTACCAGATTTTTCAACCTTGCCGAGAACTTTTTCCAACGACTGATCAGTTAAGACCACTATCTGATGGCAATCAAAATAGGGCCTCGGCTTCCGAGCAGCTACTACTACCGCGAAAGCGACTTTCTCGAGTAGAGGGTAGCGAGTCTCGGCATCCGTCAGTGTATGACTGACAAAGTAGATCGGTTGCTGACTTTTACTTTCTTCCTTCAGCAGTACTGCACTGATGGTGGCTGGGCTAACGGCCACATACAGGTACAAAGTTTCTCCTTCTGCTGGGCTAGCCAGCGTTGGGAGTTGAGCCAGATGCTCCCGAAGCTGTTTAAAGGCGTCTTTTTGCTCTTCCTCCCAAACGAGCTCTTTTGTTTTCGGGAGTTTCAGGGCTTTGAAGAAAGGTAACCCCTTATCCGAAGCTCTGGAAATGAACCTCGAGAGGGCTGCCATTCTTCTGGTGAGCCGCTGAACATCCCGCTTTGTTTTCGGCTCAGGAAGGTCGAGCGCTGCTTTGACTTTGGAGGGATTGGCATCAATCCCCCTTTTGCTGACTATGAACCCAAGGAATTTCCCTGAATTCACGCCGAAGACACACTTCTTCGGATTCAGCTTCATTTGATGCTTTCTTAAGGTGGCGAAAGTTTCAGCCAGGTCCTTAACATGGTCCTTAGGTTTTTTGCTTTTGACGATTGAATCGTCGACATAGACTTCCATGTTTCGGCCCTTTTGATCGGCAAAAACTTGATCCACCAGCCTTTGATAGGTTGCCCCCGCATTTTTCAATCCGAAGGGCATCATTTTGTAATTGTACACCCCAGCGTTCGTGACGAATGCTGTCTTTGCTCGATCGTCGGGGTGCATGAAGATCTGATGATACCCCGAGAATGCGTCCATGAAACTAAGCAAGGCATGGCCACTTGTCGAATCGACTAGCTGATCGATCCTCGGCAAGGGATAGAAATCCTTCGGACAAGCCTTATTTAGGTCCGTGAAGTCAACGCACATCCTCCAGGTACCATTGGCCTTCTGAACCATCACCACATTTGCCAGCCATTCTGGATATTGGCAAGGTTCGATGAAGCCTGCCTCCAGCAATTTTTTGACCTCGGCTGCGATGTCTCGGTTCTTATTAGCGGAGTAATTCCGCTTCTTTTGCTTAATTGGTCGACACGTTGGGTCAACATTAAGCTTATGGGAGATGAGGTCTGGACTTATCCCGGGCATATCAGCTGCCGAGAAAGCAAACACATCTCTGTTGTCCCGAAGGAGCTGAATAAGTTCACAACGGGTGTTCGGATCAAGGTCCATCCCGATTGTTACACATTTCTCAACGTCTCCTTCGGCCAACTCAACTGTTTCAGTCTGTTGGTCCATGTCCATTGCTGATGGACTAGACTCTTCAGAATCTGGCCTGCTGCCCATGTCAGCAGGTGTCCCAGTCTTTTTGTTCTTCGGCTGGCTCTCTGAGTCTTGCTGTTCAGCTGAAGAGCTAGCCTTTTCCCTTTCGGGCCCTTTACCTCTGGATACAGATCCTTGGGCCGAAGCACTTAGGCCTTTCGGCTTTTTTGTACTTGTCTCTCTTTCTTTTTCTTTCTCCTCCTCATCCTTGTCGTCATCTGGGCGACTACTGGATGGCTTGAGGTAGTTGCACCTTCGGGCGTCCTTTTGGTTGCCCTGTATCCTTTCGGGGAAGCCAGCGTCTGAGACGTAAATCATCAGCTGATGATAAGTTGAGACGACCCCTTAGATCTCATGAATTATGGGTCTCCCCAAAATCACGTTGTACACTGAAGGAGCGTCAATGACCAAAAATTCAATCATGACGTTCCTGGCTGCCTCATCGCAGCCGATGGTGATAGGAAGTGTCACCTTCCCATCAGGATAAGTTGAAGCCCCGTTGAACCCGGATACCGGGTAGGGTACCGGCGTAAGGTGCTTAGGCTTCAGCTTGATTTGATTGTAGGCCTTTCGGAACAGAATGTTTGCTCCGCTGCCACCGTCAACAAGGACCTTACTGACGTCGTGGTTGGCCACCGTGGCGATGATCACCAACGGATCCTCGTGAGGGAACGTTATCCCCCGGCAGTCGGCGGCTGTGAACGTCATGTTCGGCACCGGCGATTGGGGAGACTGAATGTCAGCGTTGTTCACCTGGTGAGTCAAAGCCCTAAGGTGTCGCTTGTGCTCCCTCCGAGAGCATATTCCTCCCGAGATAACATTGATCGGAGAGAATTTCCCCTCCGGCTTTTTACTGTTCTTCCGGGGGAAGTTTAGGTCTTGCCGAGAGTCAAACCCGACCCGTCATCCTTCCAAATCAAACCCGACCCGTCATCCTTCCAAATCATTCACTTCCCTCCTTTTCTGATTAAATCAAACCCGACCCGTCATCCTTCCAAATCGGGTCTGGGGGGCAAGTTGTTTGGGTCCAATTTAGTCCAATTGGGCTTAGGCATTAAATGATCCAATTAAAAGCCCAAGGTCAAGGTTCATCTCTCCAATTGTGCTAAAGTCAAAGATCAGTCCTCAAGGCAAGCCAATTGGGCTAAGGCCCAACTTCTCCATGTATGCAGAGGTATAAAAGCCATCAATATTACATTTGTACATTCATTCAAGCAAAGCCTCAAGCAATTAATTCTCTTGCATAGTGTTCTCTTTCTACGCACTGTACTGACTTTAGCATCGGAGGGGCCTTCCTCGGCAACACCCCCGAGGCTAGTTTACGTGTGTTTACTGTGCAGGAAACCTTCGGCCCAACATTACTTGGATCGAATCTAGTCTTCTCCACTTCATCGGACCTTCGACAAGGTCCCATTGTTTTCACCCGAAACAATATTCATTATATTATTTTTATATTAGGAAAAGTGAGGTGAATGACTACTCAATGAACCTAATCCATAACATGTCCGATCCCCCGGTCCAACCTTAATGAGCTAGGACTATTGTGACAGGAGGGGGAAGGATAAGGGAATCCCCAAATAACCTTGATGTTTTGTCAAAATCCGTTGTATATAGAGAGATTGGCTATAGATGGTTAATTACCAAGAGCAGGGTTGTAGCCACGGAGTTTAAGCTCGCGATACTCTTGAGCCAAGGCACAACATTGACAAAAGAAGTGGATGCAACAATCCTCACAAGTGCTTTCCGGAATCCCGAAATGAGCCTTAAGCTTTGCACGGTATGTGCATGAGTATATCCATTGAAACCCTACAAAGGTTGCAAGTACCAAGTAGAAGGTTCCAGCAGCACAGCATGCTGCAACACCAAATTCATTTTTAAACATTTACAATTAATTAATTAATTAATTAGTTACAATTTTGTATGTAGTAGTATCAGATAAATAAATTCATATACGGGGTAACATAGAAACAATGGTACTCCGTATGTGTTATGTACGTGACAGTCACATATGGAGTACTTATATTCTTATGTACGTAACGTATATCTAGTAGCATATCGATTGATGTCAATGTAAGGTTGTCCTGGTGAACTTACATAATGAGCCTTGGTCAACAATCTCTGCAATTCGTCCAAAGGAAATGCAGGGGCAACAAAATGTAAGAAGGCCTGCAATGAAATTTTTGAATTTTAGAATAAGGTCAGAGTAAATGATGTACTAGTATAACTTTCTCTGCTTCAAAATTAACTCGATCTCACTTTAACATTATACATAATATAGCATTAATCTAATAATACTCCGTACTATTATCATGTAAAATTTTGTTCAATTAATTAATGTTTGGTCTGAAATTGAAATATATACAAGTATTTACTTTTAATCAATTCGTTACATAAATAAAGGTAATTATTAATAATATGATAAAATGAAATTATTAAGCTACTCTATGTTATTTTTCGTTGTTAGTATTTGAAATCTTTTTGCAAGATAAAAATCGGAATGAGTAGTAGAATCATGAGTTGATGAGCAGTACTTACAGCTTGAACAATCAGAGCAACAATCACAAAGACCGGTAGTAAAGTCACTAGTAGCTGGTTGATGCTCCGCCTGTTTCATGGTGATGAATGTATGATAGATAAACCAATCAAACTAAAATTATTAATTGAAGGACTTAGAAAAAAATGAAAGATTTTTAATGATAAAGTTGGGGAAATTTAGCAACAAATATATAGTGCTGGTTAAAATTCATTTGTAGTGGAAGGTAGGGTCTTCTATGTGTCCATCAAATTAAAATACACTATAGAAATCCAATAAAATATTGACATGTTAGTACGGGTACAAATTATGTTCAATAAATAATAAGAAAGAGATAATTACATACAGACAAATCAGACATGAAAAATTACAGAGTAATTGATAATAAAATGAGCAACTCATTTAACCATTAACATAATAATTCTAAATTTATTTTTAAAATGGGACCAAGTCTCAATTTTAGCCGAAAAGGGTATAGTGTAGGTGTGTGGGGTGAATGAACTTGATAAGTAGTATGGCCTGGATTACATTTTTATAATCGATTTATTCTGATTAGCATATGTAGCATTATACAAAATGAGTTCGAATAAGTTTAGACATATGTTCACAAGTTTGATTGAGATAAATTAATCTTATAACTATAAATAAGTTTTATCAAACTAGAATAGAATATATGCTCGTTCTTTTACATGTTGATTTTATTTTATTTTATTCTATTTTATATTTTTAACAAAGAAACAGAAAATAAAAGGCAGAACAAGCTAGCTAGACTAAAAAAGAAAAAACAGAAAGGAAGCAACCCAACATCCTAAGTCAAAAACAAGTCATATCACCCCTCTGGCACCAATTTAAGCCAAGCCACTCCACTCAAGTCCTCCAATAAAACGGCATGAGGATCCTTTGGGACCGCCTCAAATAGAACTAAAGGTTGTTTGTTGTTTGTTAGATGTATGATTGGAACTTTGTTGTGTTACATGCTAATCAGTTTATAGCCAAAGAAAGGCCCAAAGCATATCAACAAGCAGGAATGCCAAAAAAAGAAGTGTTCTACTTGTCTGCCACATGCAAAAAATGTACTAAGTCGTACTAGTCGGACCCCGTTAGTTAGGAAGAGTTTTGGTTTGAAGCGTAGACAACATAGTCACATATACACACAAAGTGACAATCTTTAGCCATATCCATCCTAGGCTCCTGTTGGTCCTGTATAAACATGGAAAGACGAGTGCATTTAATTGCATTTTGGTAATTTGGTATAGGTGCTCACCATACGGCGGGCTTGATCGAGCATCCGACTAGCTAAATTGGGAGAAATTGGACACAACCTATGGAATCTCGTAACTAATTAAATAGTATTTGGTTTAATTGTAAGGATTGTATCTTATAGATTAATTCCTATTAGGGACAATTTGGGAGTAGGGATTCCCTTATTACTCTTTCTCCTCTCCTGGAGTCTTCCTCTAACTTGAGTTGGGTTGGCTTACAAAAAATTTCAGTTTATTAGGGTGTTTAATTGGTTGGTTCTAAGACGATCCAGACTAATGACATTTTGGGTCATTTATAGTTGTGATTTCAAATATTGATAGTGGTATTCATAAAGTTTGATATGATTTACCATGTCAATAATTGTACTAACCACCAACCATTCCAAGAGAAAATGGAGGCTAAAGGAGTTAGGACTTGGAGTAACTTTAATTACTTTTTGTGCTATTGGTTGCCAATCAAATGACTCCGTGGATTAAATTTCCGCTTTCATTTTTTGGTGTCACTCAATAAATAATTACAATTTCTTGTTTTCAACTCATTTCCAATTTTTTTCTTCACCATTATTGATGAATCTGAGATCGGTAGGCATGGGCTTTACACACTGTCTAATTTTAATTTGGTCTAAAATCAGCGATTATTAATTTAACCATGATAAAAGAGTAATATTAATAATTAATAATATAAAGTCCTAGCATGATGGGTATAACATAAGTAGTTTAGACAAAATAAGTTCTTCGAAAGCTGCTAATACACTTATTTAATTTCGGTCTCATGGCCAAATTAAATAAAGCTTGCCATGCATCGCTTTTTGTTGTCCCATGGCTTATTGAATTGTTTCGTTTTTTACTACTCGTTATGATGATAATTTATGATTGTCCACATTTTCACACCAAATTCACCACACATCACCAAGTCACCACCTTGTATCTATTTGTGATTAGGGGCCCGGATAAAATAGGTCATGACCCGACCAAACCCTTTTTAACTTTGGTCATGAATAACATATTCTAAAATATCCACTAAAATATTATGCTTGACATCATGATTAAAGTTGGGGTTTCGGTGCTCAATCATATAACTGTAAAGCTTGATTTAGAATATATGGATTATTATACTTCGTATATGCGAGTAGTGCTCCAAGTTATCATTTGCAATGTGCGAAGGAATTAACAATTTTTCTTTTTATTCTTTAGGGTTTTAGCTAGGAGATTATTTAGATATATATTTTGTTCTATAGCATATAATCCGTAGTTTTTGAATTATTTATAGTTGTTCAAAGAGCAATTATTGAAATGATACCTTTGGTTTTTAAAGAGAACAGTCCGTCAAAGAAAAAAAAAGAAGAGAGAGAGAGAGAGAGAGGGGTATAGATAAAAAATAACCATTTTTTCCTTTTTGTTATTCAAATACTACGTATAGATACTACAAGTATAAGTTTTTTAAGAGCCTATCAACCTAACTTATCTATTTTAATTTGATCGCATTCCAAAATGTATCTTCTTACAATCATACAGAAGCCCTAATTTGGCTCATGATAGTATTATTAATAGTAAGATAGGGCGCAAAAAATTAAAACCAAACACAATTGTAATTCACATCACAAACACTCCATACGATAAATATTTTAAAGTACAATACACTTTTTTATTATTATTAATTAGCTAATTAATCCTTTTTATCTTAGTAAGTTGTTAGTAAGAAAATAATCTTAAACTAACAACTTAACTCCCCTACGCCTCATAAACATTGGGACTTAAAGAAGGTATGATTTAGTTCATAAATAGAATTACATAAAAACACAACATACAAAAAAAAAAGCCAATTATAGAAAATGAACTATAAAAGCAGATGCATCTTTGATCTAACGGGTCATACCGCCCGGCACCACAGGGGGATTATCCATACCCGTTCCCCCATTTCGCTTCTCCAAATTACCATACCATCCTGTAAACAAAACCATGGATAATAAAAAAAATTATAATATGAGTGGTAATAATTTAATAGTAAGAATTTTATAAATTAATTCATTAATTATATATAAGTTGACTTACGAAATTGTTAAGATAATTTTTAAAATATAGGATTATTCTTCACTTTTATAATTAACTCGATTTACCTTATTGACTTTTAACTTTATTTTCGTATATTTTTTTAGTATATTCTTTAGTTAATATAATTCCCATGCTATATAAGAAAAAGGACAAGAAAAAAAAAACAATTTCTTGTGAGATCATGATTGTTAAATTAGTCTCAAGTTTCTCTCAAAAAAAAAAAAAAAAATAAATAAATAATAGTCTCAAGTTATATGTATATGTTAGTTCAATACAAAGATGTTAATCAATATTTTAGCCGTTTTCATAAATGAATATGCATGATAAATTATGAAAAGAACTAACGAAAAATTGTACACATAAAAAGAAAAACTATGTACGTACCGAGAGGAACATCATAACCACGGTGTTGAAGCTCGCGATGCTCTTGAAATAAGGCACAAGGGTGGCACCAAATATGGGTACACAAATCTTCAATAGGACTTGCCGATATTCCATATTGTCGCTTGAGCTTGGTTCTATAGGCGCATGCGTAAACAAAATGTAAGCCCGATAGAAATCCAATTATGCCATATAGAGCTCCGCTCACCCCACATGCTGTCATTTTTGCAAAATTAACATTTTCAGTTGGTTAATTTCGATTATATTTATAAACAAATTAGAATTTCAAGGACAGCATACATGATAATCCCCTATCAATTATCTCTGCATTTTGCCCGAAGGTAATGCATGGACACCAAGTTGTTTGACAACCTGCACAAGAACATATATACATGTAACAAAGGTCAGTACGTATTGTATCGGATAAGATCCATTTGAAGGTAACTTATAGTATACTAACGTAGATTATGTATGTACAAAAGTTATTGTGTGACAATCTCAGATACGGAGTACAATATTTTGGTACCACCTTCTACAACTTTATTTGATATATATACGTGTATAACATGTTTAAATACATATGTATTTTGTACGCGAAGAAGATAGACCGTATGAAGTACAGAAGCAAACTTACACAGTTGGATATCTGAGGTGCAGTCAAGAAGACCACTAGACCATTGGCCTTGATCATGATATGATGTTCCCATTAACGGAGTATATGCCGGTTCAGCAGCCGGTGAACCTATCGGAATTATACTTTCCGGCTTCTCCATGTTAATTCTCAGAGAAACTAGAGTTGTGTGGTGATCAAATGAATTAATTGATGACTACTTTATATAATAAAAAGTTTTGCCAAATATTTGTTTTCCAAACCATATAAAAAAACTTGGTTGATGATATCTTAATTACTTAGTAGATAGCCACTAATTATGTGGGAATATAAAAAATACTCCGTAGTAGTGTAGTACAAGGAAATAATAAATTCGAACGAATCAAAACTATACTCCTTACTTTCTAACTTGTACCTAAGAAGTCTCATTTTCCATGTTTTTTTAATGTCAACCAAACAATTAATCCCTTAATGATAATTCATAATTAAATACTTAATGTAATAAGTCCATCAAAATGATACAAAATTATTATAAGAAGAAAGTACACAGTCATGAAGATAAATGACATTGGGGACAAAATCTGATTCGAACAAAATCAGACACGGTAGTAATCTACCCTAAAGAAATGAAACGACTTAATGAAATTAAGTACTAGGGTTCTTTACTTGTTTTTCGAAACTTTTTTAATTTGTGGAAGGAGTAACTATGAAATTACACAATTTTTTTTTTTTACATCAATACATTGCAAAATTACATCAGATTAGAAAAAGCCATTAAACTAGTACAACAAGTATTCGCAATGTCAAAGTTTAACAATATACAATTACGAAGTAAATGCCACCAAAAAAAAAAAAAAAAAAAAAAAAGGAGGAAGCCAATTAAGCAGCAGGAGGAGGTTCGCTTTCGGTAGTCTTTTGGGCTTCACGAGTTGAGACATATGGGCCAGGCCCACCATGACACAGCCCATATCTCTGGTTAAAATGGCCAGCATAAAGTAGAATTATGTACAACAAATGGATCAATGTAGAAGTTATTATGAATACTTCAAGTGTTTGCAAACGTTTCCCTCTATAACCACCTAGCCTCACCTCCTTCCAAGCCAGCCCAAATGCTAGGCCCGTAAGGGCCCATGAGATGACCGCGACTGAGGTGGCTGCTGCCATGCTTGACACTGACCATGATCGGAAGTGTGCAAAACCCGCCATAACCGATGCGATCCCGGTGGTTCCGGCTAAGAGTGCAAACATTAGCATGTAGTTTGTAGCCGCATTTCCTCCCAACACTGTGATCAAACAACTATTATAAGTAGTGGAAATTAGACTACGTATAAAAATAAAATAAAATTCTCTCCTCTCTCCTCCTTCCTTTCTTCTCAAGCCTAGCCTTTAGCCTCCATTGTTGTTTTTTGAAGGGGCTTCCGGCGGTTTTAACCTGTGAAAAGCCTCCATTCTTGTTTTTTTAAAAGGTTTTTTTAGGTTATAATAATGCTTCCTCCTTTTGGGAAGAACTTTTCTCCCTCGAAAGAAAGGGTTTCCGATCTCCTTCGAAAGACAAGGGTTTTTCGACCTCCTTCGAAAGACAAGGTTTATCTCCTCTTTTTGGGGGAGAATCTTTTTAGGTTTGAATCCATGATACAAGATCGCAAGGGTTATCAAGGTTTCGAATACAAATTGATGAATCAGAAGGAAAACATCCTCACATCTACAAAAGATCGTTAGATTGCTTCTCCAATAAGGCTGTATTTTCCAGCGATATAAGCAGAAAATGTTCCACAATGCAACATCTACTCGACGATTGTAGTTTTTATGAAGGAAATTTTTATTTGAATCAATATCTTATGTATTTGTTAAAGTCGAATCTCTTTTGTAGATGTGGTATGACTTTTTATTAATGAATTTTTTTACTATTCAAAAAAAGAAGAAAAAAAAAAAAAAAAAAAAAAAAAAAAAACTCTTATAAGTAAGCCTTTCATTTGTTTTTTAGGTACTTTCTAACATACACATGTATTGTATTACACTTGGATGTACTTAGAAGTGTCAATTCAAAAGTCTAGTTTGGGATTGGTGAGGTCAGATCAGATCGAATCGGATTTATATTAAATATGAGTTATTATAAATTATTGTATTCATACAAGTTGAAATCTGAATTTGGTTTTATTTTAGTAGAGTAAGTTTTGAGGTACTCTCCCTTGGACATACTCTTACTATGCGGGTGTACACGTGTATGCACTACCAAATGTTTTACATGCTTCTAATATCCATCCCATATGTAAAGGTTGTTTTAACTTTAATTTAATTGTATTTATTTATATGATTATGCTGCGTACATTAAGTTTAATAAATAAGAATAAATTGATTTCGTCAATGAATTTTATATGGTATAGTAGCTACAAAAGACAATAATGTTAACGAAATTTGATCTCAAGTCATAGTCTTGTAGACTCGTATATACAGGGATTACAACTCTCATAAGACTTTATTAACAATTTGGGTGACATCCACATAAATTTAACTTATTACCGGTCCTTCAATTCCATTGTAAATAACTGTAATGAAGGACGATGAGTATATACTAATCCTATTATAGGCTCTTAACAACAATTATCGATCACCTCCAAAATTATAATGCATCAAGATTGTATTTTATTAATGCTACAATTACAAAGGTGGTTTAGATATTGAATAACAACTTTTTTATAAATAGAAAAAGCACTTGAAATTTACTCCTAACTATATTCTTATGATCTTAGCCGTATGTCCGGTAGCTCAAAAACTAACAATTTTTTACTTAATACGTTTTTGCAATTGCAACTTGTATTCTTGTACGGATAACTAACAAAGTAATAAGCCTAAAAAGTTGAAGCAACTATTAATCCAAATTATGATCAAATAAAATTACTGAGAGAAAGATATATTAGAAATAACATATTTGATTAATTTGAAGGTAGCATAAAACAATGTTATAATAACTATCTAAACTATTAACGTAACAATTAAATTCAGATGAATATATTATGTATGTTGAATATATAGCAACTAAAGAAAACATATAAAATCATGATCGATGAACAGAAGAGATAAAATCTTGATTCATGGAGCCGATTTCATCATTGAGACTACGTCTTTTATATGATATATCATATTGAAATAAAACAAAAAATCATCATGAAAACATAATCATAATACATACTTGTAAGAAAGAAAAAGGTGAGACTTACAATGGTGATTTTGGTGACCATCGATATATTTGTTAAGGGACCAAGAAGCAAGGCTTAATATTATAAGATAGACTAGCAAATCTACCACCAATATTGGCAACATAAACTTCCTTCCTAGCTTTCCATGCTCCATTTTTTTAAAGCTTCTTCAAAATTGTTACTAAATCACAAAAAGAGTAGAGAGAGAACAAACGGTGGATTTTGTCCTGATTTATTAGTTGTTATTTATATCAAATTATTAAATAAAATAAAAAGAGGTGGGGGTGATTTTGTACTTTATTTCTTTAATGAGATGGCAACTAAATGTGGAAGGTTCTTGAGTCATCTTTCTTTGCTTTACATAAAGATAAAGAAATATCATAAGTTGAGAGAAAGAGTAAGAGCACTTTGATTTCACTAAAAGCAAAGGAATATAATAAAATTCCTCTTAGCATTAGCATGTCCTAGAAGTGATTAATGGCTTCCTCTATGGTGGAAAAGGGAGATTAGTGCAATTGTGTGAAATATTTAGCAACTCTCAAATATTCTAATTCGGGGTAGAAAAATTGTCGTGAATGTTTGTGGAGATACATGTTTATGGTGGTACTTTAAATTAATGTACTACGTGTATGGAGCATTTATAACACCTTATAAATTCCTTTTCTTTAAAATACCTATTTTGTCCTTTTTAAAATACGAAATAGGAAAATTTAAGGCATTACAGTCACTGTGATAACGGCAAAGACATTTATCAAAGATACACAGCGGAATACATTTTCAAAAACCTTTCAAAACAAAGTCAAAGTCCAACAGTCCAACCAAACAAAAATATAGTCAAGTCAAAGTCAAACGAAATCAAACCTACAAGTTGGAACCATTGTAAGCCCTTTTCAAAACCAACGGTATTTAAAATCAGCGCGTTAGTACCATCAATCAATAATAATAAACCAATAAACAATAATAATTACATATTCAAATTAAAATTTGAAATAAGATTCGCTCTTCACTTAAACCCCAACATGAATATGCCGTATCACTTGAAAACTTCTCTTTAACTGTCCCTACTACTCATCATAAGAAATGGGTCGTCATAGGGCCAAGATAAAGACAAGGCCAACATAAACTCAAAACACAACAATCAGCAATGCTGAGTACATAAGCATAAAAGGAAACACACTAGGATGATAGCATCCTAGCAATATCAATAAAGCTTACCTTTCCTCATAGTTCAACCTACAAACAATAAACACAACATGGACTCATTACTGTACTTATTTTGATTACGTATCGAACGGGTTTCCCACCAAATCCCTGCCCCAAAGAATTGGGGTAAACTACTCCGGGAGCTAACCGGATAGGCATAGATGTCACATGAAAGTAACAAATGTCTTGCGCATAATAATAATACAGAGTCATGTACTCCCAGTAGAAGCTATGGTTAAATATAAAACCCCATAACTCCCCCCATATATGTCCATACTCGAGGTATATACGTTCCAAGAGTTTTGGTGCGTAATTTCTTTCACTTTACGTTGTTTACATATTTTAGGCTTGGTGATGACTCTCAATCTACAACACAATCAATCAACATGAATCATTCAAGTAATCAAACATTCCAATTTAATTCTTGAATAATTAGTGATCACATTTAATTTAATGTTGAACCCTTTTTAAAACTACCTCAGTGTAAAAACACATTAAACGCATAAAAACACCGCAAATCTTATCCCTTGATGTATAAACACCTTAAGTGCACGTAGGCACCGCAATATAATTCTATCTCTCTGTACTAAACCACTTAATAGTTCGATTCTCATGCTTAAAGCATAAATGAAAATTATATGAACCATAATAAAATTCCTTTTTTATATTCCAAACTAAATTAAACATTTAGTTTAATTAAACAAACCTTCAAGCATGTCAATAATAAAAGTATGGTTCAATAACAATATTCCAATATCACCAATTCCAATAAATAATTTATTTTAACCAATCATGCTTCACAAATATTTCACCAAAACCATTCCAATTCAATCAATCCAATTCAAATCATCAATCTCATTTCAATTCAACAATTCTAACCAATTCATAGCATGATAGTAACTTGGAATCAATTAAATGAATCCTAACACGTTTCTACACACTTAATAAATTTCCGAGCACGCATACATACCTTGAAATAGCTCTTAAAGTAGCCGAATACACTATAACACTTCCCAAACCAAGTCTCCTATGTAAAGGGACACCCTTGTATACACAATTTTCAGCAACTTAAACTCACTTTAAATAATCTGAAAATTATTTTAAAACTCTTAAATAATCTCCCTTTTAATGAGAAATTAAAAACCCCTTTTTAAAACTCAATAAGTAGCACTTAGAACAAAATTTCAGCACTTTAAACTAATCAAAACCTCTTAAAACTTCATTAAAAATATACTTTTACACTCAATTATTAGTTATAATCAATGATTACACAAAAGCCCCAAATTAGTTTATAAAATAATCCTAAAAATCATGTCTTGAATAAATTAAAAACCCTAACTTTAATCATATCAAAATCTGAAAATAATACTAATAATAATAATCTGAAAATACAAAATAAAACTATTAAAACATGATTTTAATACTACTCAAACATACTTTGAACAATGAAACCAAAACCCATAAATATAATTATCAAGATAATTAAAATTAAGTGTGTAGAAACGTGCTAGGATGAAGGTGATACGGTGGTGGCTGCCGGCAAGCGGCTGGTCGCGCGGGGTGGTCGCCGGCTGCGGCTCGTCGGTGGTTGTGCGGCTAGGTGATGTGGGCAGCAAGTTAGTGGTATTAGAATCCCACTCAACCCAAATACCATTCATAAGTTTTCACGTAAAGGAGAAGGAAAGAGTTAGGGAAAAAAAAAAAGAAAGAAAAAGAGAAAAAAAAAATAAATAAATTACCTTTACCATTTGACTTTGTGGGGAAAATTTTAGGGATAAATAGAATATTTATAGTATAAAGTAGGTTAGGGTATGTTTGGGCTACATAGAGATTATGGACTTGAATAATATAATAGTTGGCCTAAATATAAAAGTAGGATGATTGAGTTTATTATGAAGATGGGCTACACGGATAGAATATTTACTGACCCAAATATTAAAACTTATTCTACTTATAATTCAATAATTAAAATAATTTGACCAAAAATATATTTTATAAATAAATAAGTAATTTATAAAATACATTAAAGTACGGGGTATTACAGCATTATTTAACGGTGGCATCCTAAATTATTGTGGATTTGTGATAGTGGGTTTTGGACTGTGGTTGGTTTGTGTGGAATTAGGTATAACTTGAATAAGCTATGAGCCTATGATGGTCTGAAATTAGATTTCTGGACTTAGGTTAGGTCATAAGCCCAAGGTCATAAATTTGTTGGATTTTTTGGGTTTTTGGGCTGGGTTTGGCAAGAGAAAGGCCCAATGAAACAGCTTATTATGGACTGAAGCTTCGAATTTTTTTGAGTACATAGTCCAGCCCAATTTGAACCTTTTTGAGTAGTACATTTTTTTTCACTGACCTTGAGAAAAGAACTTGGCATCAAGAATGGTAGTAAGGCAAGCTATGTGCATATGTCAATTGGTTATGGTCAAGTTCACCCGGCAAATCGCCTCCTAATTCAACTTTTTTTCTCCCCCTAAAAGCTTAACGTCATTGAGACATATGACAACAATCCATTGCTCATTCTATGTAGGAATATTAGTCATAGACCTTGAGCTCTAAGAAGCTAGACTTTAGGGGATAAGGTAGGTTTAGAATCTTGCCTCAAACCTCGTTGCTACGGATGACAATTTGAACTTTCCCACAAATTAACATCAATAAACAGGTTTAGCCACCTTGATTGATATTGGTTGGGTTTTTTTATGACCACTGCTTTCCATTTAGAATCAATAGATAACAAGAAATGATTATGGGTAGCAATCTAGTCACGATTAACTTATACAAGTATTGTCAAAATGAGATACAAGTAATCAATGTATACTGTCACAAAACTCACAGTCACAAATCACCTATATAAATTTGTATAAACTATGGAAAGAATGAAAGAGAGAAATGAGTATTTGCACATAAAAGATTAACAGTATAGTACAATATCTATAAAGTAACACACTAACATTTTATTTATGTTACAGAACTGTATAGGTAACATATAAATAGGTGCTATCTTACAGAAAAAGGAAGAAAATTACTCGATAATCTGGATAAGCTCTTCAAATTCCAGTTTATCAGCAAATAACAGCAAGGAGCTCAAAGCAGAAACAAAAATTGTGAAAATGAGAAAAGATTTACAGGGTGTTTCGGGTGAAAACAATGGGACCTTGTCGAAGGTCCGATGAAGTGGAGAAGACTGGATTCGGTCCAAGTGATGTTGGGCCGAAGGTTTCCTGCACAGTAAACACACGTAAACTAGCCTCGGGGGTGTTGCCGAGGAAGGCCCCTCCGATGCTAAAGTCAGTACAGTGTGTAGAAAGAGAACACTATGCAAGAGAATTAATTGCTTGAGGCTTTGCTTGAATGAATGTACAAATGTAATATTGATGGCTTTTATACCTTTGCATATATGGAGAAGTTGGGCCTTAGCCCAATTGGCTTGCCTTGAGGACTGATCTTTGACTTTAGCACAATTGGAGAGATGAACCTTGACCTTGGGCTTTTAATTGGATCATTTAATGCCTAGGCCCAATTGGACTAAATTGGACCCAAACAACTTGCCCCCCAGACCCGATTTGGAAGGATGACGGGTCGGGTTTGATTTAATCAGAAAAGGAGGGAAGTGAATGATTTAATTAATCCAAAAATTTGAATTTAAACCGTAATTAAACCGTAATTAATGAGATAACAACAGTTAAGGCGGATAATTGTGGAAGTTGGACGGATAATGGGCAGTTTAATCGCAAGGTCGTGTGTTTAACGGTTACTTAGTGGGGTATTTAAGAGAAATTGAAACGCGGACTCCCCGTATTCCCATTTCTGGAGATATAATTAGAGGCGCGTCATCTCTCCTCACTTATTCACCAACACAAACCCAGAATTCTCGAGAGAACCCAAGAACCCGCATCAAAACTTCGCAAATTCCCCGAGCATTAAGCTTAGAAACTGAGACTCGCCACTACCAATTCGTAAATCGGCAACTTTCGCTTCAGATTAAGGTAAATTCCTTTGATTTTAGTTTATTTTTCTTCGAATTTGAACTCCTTCCCCTTTTTCGACTTTTTTCTTCGAAATTATCAATGGCGAGAGGAGTTAGGGGTAGAGCCCGTGCTCCAAGAAGAGCAAGGCCAATTCCCGATCCCAGGAACAGGATTGGGACCTGGAATGGACAAAGAGCAGAGTCTGACCCTGCTGAAGGGATTAGGGCGACTCCAATTTCTTCGGCTCCTCCTCAGAGAACGGAGGGGTCGAGCGCTTCTGGGCGGGACGATGAAGTTCCCGCTGTCCTTTGGGATATCCTTCCCGGGTTTTCAGAGTGGGAGGATGTCGAAGTAGCTTCGGCCATGATAAAAAACCGCCCCTACTCATGGTGGGCGGAGAATGCCGAACAGTATCGGTTTGCCGAACAAATTGAGTTGCATTACGGCATCCTTGAAGCTGATGGATATTGGTGCCGAATGCCCGTGGCATCCGATAGAATCCATCGTCCACCCCCGGGGTATGTGGGGGTGTACACAAGACAACTTCAGTATGGGCTGAGGTTCCCTTTGGACGTATTCGTCCGAGACTTGCTGATCCATTACAATATTTCCCTATGTCAGCTAACTCCTATTAGCATCCGAAGGGTGATGACATACTTATGGGTCTGCAAGTTCTTCAGGTATGTGTCGAACCTGCACTGCTTCAAAAAGCTTCATCGGCTAGTGCCAAATATTCAAAGTGGGCACGGAAGTCATGGTTCTGGGTGGTACCGGATTGAGTCTCGGCCCCAGTACCTAACCATGTGGCCGAACGACTCTTCAGACAAGGACTGGAGAGGTCAATGGATTTGGGTTAGGGCACCCACGGACCCGGGCCACCCTTGCGTCTTCAGCGCTCCCCGGTACCTTGCTGAGCCTGATCCCGACATGGGAAGTTTAGGTCCCCCCGCAGATAACGGCCCAGATCCGAACCTTAATCAACAGAATATCTTCGGCAAGCTGCCGAACCGGGGGGGCAGCGGCCGAATAAAGCATATCCCGGAGACTTGGCTCCCCGATACGCATTATGTTTTCCAAGAGAACATGCTAGCAGCTGTCGGCCTCAGCCGAAAGTTTAAGGATGGTAAGCTTCTTCGGCTAGGGCCGAGGCCTTTTAATTATCTCTTTTTCTCCTCTTTCACTTCGCTTTTTTATGCTGTGCCAACCTAACTGAACTGACCTTTCCCCTTTTCTTTTTCAGAGCGGGACGAGACCAACGTCGGCATTAACTACGCTCGTCTTG